AGGAGTGAACAAAGAGGAAGAAAGTGTCTCAGAACGAAGACCAAAGGAGGGAACCCATCAGAAAACATCGATGGGGCTCATGTTAGACAAAGCCAAATGGCCAGTGAAAAATGAGGAATTCATTCACACTTCACAGTGGTTTAGTGATGGATGGCCTCAGACTCACCTTACAGTAGGGGAAACTGAGGCCTGGAGAAGTATCTTGAGTGAGGTCACACTAATCAGTAGAGAGCTTGATCTCAAGTTCAAGTGCATTTTGTACTATGCCAAGATCACTAGTTGTAACTCACAGAAAGGTGCCAGTAGAAAAGGCTAGTTTTTAGCAAATGATCTTGTTATTTCAGCTTCTTAAAAATAACTTCCCTAATTTCAAAGACAGACTATGTTTTGCCCAAGAGAGTAAAAATAAAAGTGGTGTCAAGCATGTAAGGAAACTAGCCCTCTCACACATCACTGATGGAAACATAAACAGGTATAACCTTTTGGAAGCAAATTTTAGCAAAGATAAAACAACTGTAAAGTGTGTATGCCCTTTAATGCAGCAATTCCACTGAAATGGTGTATACATGCAAAAAAGACATACAAGGATGCTAATCTCAGTACTGCTTATAATATCAAAAAGTTAGAAGCAACTTAAATGAAAGTGGTTAAAAATGTTAAGGTAAATTCATATAGTGGAGTACTATGAAACTACTAAGAAGAGAGCATGGCCCATAAAAAGGCTGTTGTGATTTGTTGATGTAATGTATAAGATTTTAACAGTCATACACATATGTATGAGAGTGTATTATATGTCTATAGCTCCTCTAAGAAAAACAAATTAAGTATAAAGCACTTAGGATATCACCTGGCAAACAGCAACTAGGAAAAATTTCTCTCAAAATGTGATGGTATATGCACGAAGAAAATAAAGACTTTAAATTAAGTGGTAAACGGTGGCTATTTCTGGGATGTGGTATTATGTAGCATTCTTTTTCGCTTTTAGTAACTTGATGGTGTTTGACCATTTTTTCACATGATTTTTATAATGAAAATATAACGAACATATGCTTCCTATAAAATAAAGAAAACCATATTATTCAGAAGTGAACATCTTCCATATGCATAGAATTCAGTCGTGGAACACTAAAAGTTTCAAGTTCGTATGATGGACCAAATACTTTAGAAATGTAGATTAAGACTGCCGGCAGTGTTAACCCATTCAGAGGATGTAGGTGAGGGTGATGGAAGGGAGAGAAAACAGATTATGTCATAAATGTTAAAAAAAAAACCTGCCATTTCCTCTCCCCTGAACATCTGTGGCTGTGGTCTGAAGCCCTAAAGCCACTTGGAGCCAACAGAGGAAATGAGCAGCTGCTGCATGTTGTGTCCCGGCCAGCCCTCGACAGACACTTCACAACGGAACCTGCTCACACGTCCCGCGGGCCAGGCAAGGCTGACTTGTGCCTGACTTGTGCCCACAGCAGTGAGAGGAAGAATCAAAGGTGGACCTAACCACGAGAGTAATAATGACACAGCCACTAGCAGGTTTTCCTAAAGGGTAAGGATCTGCAGACCTTCCTCCACACCTCGCAGGCACACTCTGGGGCCTGAGTCTGTAGGAAAACGAATAGGCTGCGTCGCTGTACAGGAACATTCCTGGTTTTCACATAGCAGCTGTTTACTTGGTCACCTAATGAAACAAACTAATAAATTTTGTGGGAGTCCCTAGGTTTTTTCTAGCTATGAATATTATCTGTTACTTTCCTTCTGCTCCTCATCTCAGTTGACAGTTCAGTGTAACCAACTAAATTCAGTGGTGATGGCAAGAGGGAACTCACTTCTTCGGAACATGATTTTAAAAGGAATCTTTTAGTATTTTCCCCACAAAGTATAAAGTGCTCCGGGGGTTTGCAAAAGTTACCTGTTACCATTCCTTTTTATTCCTCTTAATCCTTTTTAAAAATAAGGACCCAGTTTTGAAATATTTTTTGTCATTTCATGACAGAATAATGCATTTCTCATTTAATTTACTGATGTGATTAGAGCCATTCCCTGGAGTGGAATTCCTGGCTCAATGGTTTACCCATAAAACCCTGTGAATTGGTTCACGTGAGAGTAACATGCCTGGACACAATGCAATCAGGGCCTGACTAACTCACAAGAAAGCTCTGAGGAAGGACAGGTGGTGAGATATCATGGACCTTACCACATCTGGAAGTGGTGCATACCTCAACTACAGCACTAACCTCACGGAACTGCAAGTACTCTCAGGTGAAGGATTCTCTTATGCACCCAGGTTCCTGTTATGTCTTACACATGGCCACAGTGAGTTATTTCTGTTCCCTCTCCACATACTATATTTGCATGTGAGCTGGCTCCTCATTATCAAGGTCAGATTCAAGGAAGAACACAGGGACCATGAGAAAGGAAAAGGAAATATGTCTTGGAAAGTAAAGTCACACCAGCCCTTTACCTCAGGATGGTAAAGAATACCCAGAAGGCCTGCCCAAGCCTGCTTCACCCCAGTTCCCCAGGATTGGAGACGGTTGACAAATGCACCTTCCATGTACCTGGAACCACCATCAGTAATTTTTCTCACTCTGAATTTTCATAGGAATTTGTGAGTCATAGCTCAGAAAACATTCTCACACATATTAAGTACCAAACTTGATCCTCACTGCAGACTTCCCAGGGGACAGGACAGAACCTGAGTTCAAATCCAGGAGTCGAACCTGAATATGGATTCCAGTGCTCAGTTACCAGGGAGAGCAAGTTACTGAATCTCAATTAGCCTCATTTCCTTTACCTGTAAACTTGGGTCAATAATACTTACCTCACAGAATGTCTGTGAGAACTGAGGAAGGTGGCAAAAACCAAAGTCCCAGGCAAACACCGGGTACTCAGTATGACCTGCCTTTTTTTCCTGACACCAAAGTCTTCCCCCAGACAGTGCCTGCATAGAATTTGCAGCCACAACTCTTTGAGAGGCCTCATGGCTCTCCAGCCACATGGTGCACATTTGGCAACCCCTGCCCAGGACAGAGGTGGGCTGGAGGCTGTCCCAGCTGGTCAGCACCTGGCTGGGCTGCCTAACTGGCCCCGCCTCTGCGGTGGGCTCTGGGACGTGGTTCTAGCTGCCAACCCTCTACTCCTCCCCCCATCTATTCCATCCACAAGGAACTTTTCACTTTCCCAATTTTTGGACAATGGTCTAACATCCATCCCTCATACTTTTTTCTATGACGGTTTCTCGCCAAGCACCCATGGGATGAGGGTAGGCTTCCTCCAACATCTTCCCGGCTCTGCCCTCTCGCACATCTCTAACTAGCCCTCAATGGGCAAGGCTTCAAGCATTTCCATTCCACTTCTAGGGAAGGCACAGTATTAATCAAGGCTCTGGAACCGAAGAACCTGGGCTCAGATCCAACTCCACTTCTCACCCAACTCTGCTGTGATCTCAGCAAGTACTTAACCTCTCTTTGCCTTAGTTTCATACTTTGTAAACTGAAGATAATAACATAGTTTATTTGGGGGGATTCAATAATGCACACAGTGGGTACTCAATAAAATTTAGCTCTTATTTATTTATGTAAAAACTTTCTATATAGTATGTATTTACACATACACACACATATATATAGTGGTACTGGAGGGATACAAATAGGATCATTTATATTTGTATCTTTCAGGGAGCATGTAAAGGAGAACTTTTGATACTTGTACCATTTTGCAAGCATATATTATTTTTGTAATTTAAACACAGTTTAAAAAAAACACACACTTTTTTGGGTTTTTTTGGGTGTGGTGAGGAAGAAAGGGAGGGTGGGTAAGAGAAGTAGAAACATTGTTTGCTTGAGACAGCAGCCAAAGGCTGGAACACACAGAGTCTTGAACATAAAGACAATGTAGTGCTAGTTTGCAAGGTTCCTGATGCCCCCTCTGGGAAACCTTCTGCCATCTATACATTAGCTCTATATAAATTTCTTCCATATTTTCTCGGTAATGTAGGTGGGAGTAGGGGTACGGGTTGGGGGAACCCAGGTCCATGCAAACCAAGTCAGCCTGGACTGGAGGGACGGGTAGGGGGAGTTCTGAGCTTGATCACAATTGGAGGGTCTCCTGGGCTCCTGCAGCACTTCAGGGAGCAGGAGGCAGTTCTCCTGGGCCTTGGGGGGATAGAGGGGCACAACCAGGACAAGCCATAGGAAGCTTCCATGCTGCCAGGTAGGAAATGCTTCCCAGAGACCTGGGCATGTTCCCCCAAGAAGTCTAGACCACTTTGCCTAGGAGGAATGAGGAAGGGCTCTGTCTTACTGAAGAATCTTCTAAGCTGCCTCAGTTTCCCAAATGTCTCACGAGACAGACTGAAACAAGCAAAGGTTTGTTATACTACCTTCTGTGCAATAGCCCCCACAGGGCTCCTCATCTTTCTCCCCATCCTAAAAGCTCAGTGCTACATACAGTAAAAAAATCATATCCTCTTTGGGTGAAAGTTACATCATCAGAACACCAAGAGCAATGTTGCCCACTTGCTAGATGTAGCCAGGATACTCATTTAACCAATCCACATTGCTGACCTTCTCCAAGGGTGAAAACCCCCTTGCTCCTAACTCCCCTCATATCACTTCTGACAGGTAAAAATCCTTACAAGGTGATAAAATGCACAGTCCAAGAAACTTGCATTTCTGGAAATTGACCTACTGAATATAGAGCATCTTCTAGGAAAATTTATTTTCAAATTGCAAGTGCTATACTGCTTCTATCTGCCGCCAGATGTCTTCTGGGCCCCCATGGAAACAAATGCAACTATTACTGCTGGCAAGTATGAACATAAGATTATGTCTCCCACTTTATTAATGCTTCTGCTAACAAAGTTCCTCCAAGCCAAGTATGTCCTTGTGATCCATTCCTTCTACCCTATATGCAATCCTGCCCCCACCCCTCACCAAAGTCCCCCAAAGGAACTGGATCTGCTATAAAGGAGGATGCCAAGCAGGACCCTCAAGAAGGTAACTCACCTTTTTCATGGCTGCTTGGTGGTGGTGGGGAGGTGACTGGTTTGGACTTGTCATAGTTGTTAAAGCTCTGGCTGCGTCGGTTGTTAGCAGTGGCTGACCCTCCACGTGTTTTGGCCTCGCTGCCTGCAGCGGATGCCCTCGAGGTAGGACCTGGCAGTCTAAAATACAAAAGCAACAGAGTAATGGATTCAGTCTCAGGAGAACAGTGTCTCAAAAGAAAGAACTACACTGCAACCATGCAGGAAGTAAAAGAAACCATTCAAGACACTGGGTTTGGGGAGGTTTACCAGCCAAAGGATTTAGTAGAATCACTACAAACATCTAGGCTACTAATGACCCCAGTAAAGTCCAACAGCAAAACATGAGTTTTCCTTTGAGCACAGAGAGAAACTTTGAAGGGAAAATATATGAATATGTTTGCTGATTAAAAATATAAAGGTTATTTTCCTATTTCTCTTGGATGAGTAATTGTGCTTTTCAATAGGATCAACCCATCATCTTTAATTTTATAAAGCACGGAACATAAAGGCCTGTTAAGACTCCAAACTGCCTTGTGTGTATATTTCTCCCACTAGGTATTGATATGGTATTTGCCATAATCCAGACTTCTTTGTAATGTAAGTATTCAGAAAAAGATGCAATTTATAATGGTCAGAAAGGAAACTGCTAGTACTCAGAATCCGACACACCTGCAGTGAAAGGCTTGGATGGACACATTGTTCAGATATACATTTTCCTTCAACACCTGACAACTTGTCTCCACAAACATTACTTTGAGGCCAAAGTCCAGCTTCTTGACACAGTAGATGGAGAAAATCGTATGTTTTTGCTGTAAAACTTAGTAGGAATCTGTTAGCCTAAAGACAAATGCACACTTTCCCTTTAAATAAAATACCTCATCTGAGGTGGTTTGGGAAAAAAAGTCAACAGACTTCTTTGTAATCTGTCTAAAGATATTATGGCCCACTCCCCAAAGAGTTAAGACTCCCAAAATCAGAATTTTTGTTCAGAGACTACTAAGCAGGCTGTTCCCAATCACTAATATTGCAAGATGAATAAATAATAAAATATTTAGTTATATCTCTCAGCAAAGAACCACTTAGCTGTGTTTAAAAACCACTGGAACCACAGCTGACTGGCATTAGATCTAGTGATAAGTCTGAATTCTCAACTCATAACTTTCAGCCTTCTCTTTCCATGCAGATCTGTAGGCACCAAAGAAGTTTGCAATCTGGAAGCATTTTAGATATAAGCAGGCAATCACTTTAAACTTTTTCTTGTTGGCTGAGCAAGAAAGATGGTTGTAGAGCAAACAGAGAACATGAGCTGGTGTGAGAGGACTGTAAAATTTATAGTTAAGAAGGTGCCCAAATTCCTTCTAGACTGGGAGCTAGAAGGAAGGCAGTGAGATCTTCCCCCAACAAGCAGCAGAAGAAAAGTATCACTTCCCACTGCACTAGGAGGAATTTCCCCTGTTCATTTACCCCATCTTGTTAAGTGAAGATAACCACTACTCAAAGACAGGCACACAGAGTGAGGTGCAAAACCAGCAGGGCCAGTTCCTTTGTTTGGGAACTACATGTGGCCAGCATAAGGGAACAAGGAGGCCAAGTAATGGGATCTTGGTACCTCTTGGTTCTGTTTCCAATGCAAACAGCATCCTGCAAGCCCTCCACGTCAGGGTTACCTGGGTACTTAACAATCAACAGCAGAGCTTCCGCACCTGCAGACTTGAGATCCTTTGGGCTGGGTTCCTCTAGCCCAGCCATAGTCTGCAAGAGTCTTTATGCTCACAGATAGGTCTGGAAAAGGATTCTGGACTTGTTCCAAGGTGATGTCACAGCAACAGTAGTACATGGTGGAGGATAACACTGGAAGCAGCAGCAGCATGTTCCTTCATTGGGGAATTTGCAAAGAGTAGGGAATCAAAAATCACCAAGAGGGAAAAGCTGCATTCCTTTCAAAGCTGCTGCAGAGTCCTCACCTCTCTGTGCCGTGGCTGGACTATGGAATTTTCAGGGCAGTACAGGGCCTTTTATAGAAGCAAGATATCAAAGTATAGGATGGGGTGGGCACCACCTTGAATTAGGAGGTGATCTGCTGTTCTGTGAGGCAGTATGGTATAATGGATAAAATACACACTTTCCCACACATATGACACTGGATCAGTCTTATAATCTAAGATTCATGTTCTGTACCTATAACTTTAGAATAATATTAAACTACCCAATGGGATGGTTATAAATTTGAAATGGGACTTAATGTCTGGACTGTTGTAAGTACTCAGTGCATGTTGGTTCCCCTTCTCAACTTGTGCTGAGCATAACTTCATAAATGAATTGGGCATTGTCATAAAGGGAACGTGCTATGGTACAAATAGACAAATAAGGAAATAGATGGATCTCGGTAAAAGTATCAGAAGAGAGCTAGCCAAAAATCAACATATAAGAGTCAGAGATCAACATTTTCAAAGAGTCAAGACAGGATTTGGCACACAGAACTCCACATCTCCCTAAGGAACATTCCAGAAGAGAAATTACTTAATTCAAGTATCTGTGACTAATACTTGGGATACCTCTGAGCCATTTGTGGGCTCCATGTCCCAGAGCAAAACATTCCTGGACTTGGATTAACTAAGACAGTTCCGGGTTTGCCATGGGTGGTCATCAGATTCTCTTCACTGAATAAGGACCTAGAGGTGCTCCTTTGATGGGGGTGGCATATTCTTCAAATGGCTACAGGATTGTGCCAAGTTTTCTGGGACATGGAAGAGTTCTTGAAGCCCTTGAGGGCAGCTGACATGGTGAATAAAGGTTGGTTGGCACATACTTGGCTATCAAAAGCCACCACAAGCTCAAGCCAATACATGTCACCCTCTACCCCTACTACCATTACACTCTAGTCAGGACAGTTCCCTGAACTTGACCAAATGGGAAGACTGGATGGAGACCAGGTAATTTCTTTCAAGTTTCAGAGGGTGCCTATGTCAATACTGTGATTTAAAACTTGGGCTCCACTGTAAATGGGCTTGGATAATTGCTTGTCCTAAAGTAAGCCTCTATCCCTCTGAAATTTTTGGCAAAGTCCACCTGTACTCAGGCCATGAATGAATGCATGGTGGGTGGGAAGTAAGGAAAAAGCTTAGTTTGAATGCATCTATGAGGGAACCAAAATATTCTTTGGGATGGTGAGTCAACTCACAAACTGAATTAATTCAGACTGAAGTGTCTACACAGGATTTCAAAGACAAACATGACCTTGAGAACCTAAGATACCTGAGTAACCATGGAAAGGACAATGGACTTCGGCAAATTGAACTAGAGGTTTGCTGGGTCTGTTTCTCAACAAAACTCATAATGAAATCCTAATACCCAATTGATGATATTAGGAGGTAGGGCCATTGGGAAGTGATCAGATCATTAGGCAGAGCCCTCATGAATGAAATTAATGCTCTTATAAAAAAGGATCCAGAGAGCTAGCTTGTCCCTTCCACCATGTGAGAACACAGGAAGAAGTGGGCACTCAGCAACCTGGAAGAGGGCTCTCACCAGAACCTCAACATGCTCGTATCCTGATCTTGGACTTCCAGCCTCCAGAATGGAGCAATAAATTTCTGTTGTTGATTAGCCACTCAGTCTGTGCTATTTTGCTAAGGCAGCCAGAACAGCCTAGGACAGAATTCTAGTTCAATCTCATCTAGATCTTAAAGGACTGACTGACCCCAGCTGACATCTAAATTACACACATAATGATTAAAAAAATGCAAGGGTCAGAAGTAATTCAAAGGAGGAGAATATCACCTTGAAGTTTAGGGGGATGGTCAGGGAAATTTCCAAATAAAAGCAATCCAGAGCAAGATGTGGCACGTGGAATGGGAAAGTGAATAGAAGGCAAGAAGACAGGGCATTGTGCTTAGAGGTAGAGGTGTTGTGCAGAGCTAAGCCTGGACAATAGTGCAGAGGAAGGGCAGGGCAGGTGTGTGCTGGGGCTTGGGGAACAGTGGGAGGAAATGAGGTTGGAGAAGCAGGCAGGGCCAAAGTAGGGAGGACCTTGTAGGTCACAGTATGAATTTCTGATTTTGTCCTGCTCTCCAGCTGTGAGGCATTAATATGGAGGCTGGGAGCAGAGTTAGAGGTGAAACACAGAGTGCCTTCTAGTTTACAGTGACACAGACCCCAGGCCTCTGGCTAACATTCTGAAGTTCATTATTGTTAACATCTTTGTGCATCAGAGCTTCTACAAGCCCCAACTGGGAAGGAGCTGCTGTCCGCACAAAATCTCTCTAAAGAGCTGCGCCATGCTCCTGGGGAACAGCTGCAGGTACCACAACAGACTCTGCCCACGGTATCCGCCTCACCCAAGAGAAGCAGTGAGAGGAGAGCATGGCAAGTCAACCCTGCCTCATTTATAGTGCCAGAGGCTTCTGACAGCTCTTTTGCAAGAGGAAATTCACTTCTCATGATCATTCCATGTCTGACCACAGTTACAAAATAACAGAGGACACAGATGGGTTCTTTGAAACATACATATGTTGCTTTTTTAAAAAATAAGTTTAAGGGAAGTGGTATAACTAAGAGGCAGAAGGAAAATCCTGCTGCTATTGGAGCCATGGTCAATTTCTCCAACATGTGCAGATCCAAGCGGGAAGGGCGATACACTGTCATCCCTGCCACATAACCTGTCAGCATGTCTGGCTCCACACACTGTACGTGCTGATGGGAAGAAAGCTGTTCTTCTCCCAAAACCACTTCAAAGGCTGGGAGAGGATGGCCCTCCCAAGAAGGATGGCAGCTTGTGTGCACATGCTCAGGACCTCGGGTGGCTGGGGTGGTGATCGGAAATGCTTTTTGCCAGACAAGATGATTAAATGTGAAATCTCTCATCTCCATGGCATCTGCTTTTCAGCAGTGGGGCAGAGAGAACCAACCTATTAGCCCCACTGATTCCACAAGATGGTCTACAGAGATCAACCCTGTGGGATTTGCAAGAGGCGACCCGGTTGCCCTAGCTGGAGAAGATCAACCCAATACTCCACCACCTTTGGCTAGTTACTGTGCACCGACTGCAGGGCAGGTATACGAGGAGGGGGAATGACATTAATCCACCTAATAGTGAGGGAGGCAATAAGGAAACCCAGGCTCATGGAAAACAATTTGTCTAGGTAACACCATGAATGATGAAGATGGGCTCTCTCTAGGTCTTCCTGCAAAGCCACACTCTTAACCACTAAGCTTCTCTGTCTCCTGCAGGTACAATGAGCCTAAATACCTGGGGTCAGCACAAATGCCAGGGACAATAATAGGGGTCAAAAGCAGAAATTCATGGACATCCTTCATCCCTGTGCCAATTCTTTTTTCCATAAGCCCTTTCCCCACAACCAGATTCAAGGGTAAGGGTTCCTTCCCTGCTCAATAGCTCTGGTGCCTCTCAAGGTGTTACACTCTGGCAGGTGTTCAAATAACCTTTACACTGGAATAAGAGACCTATTTCCAGAGCTCTGGGAGTTGTCCTACTCACCCAGACGGGGTAAGGCTGTTTCTTCTGGCAACCAAACTTTACTGCTACACTTAGAGCTGTGTGGATCAGCTAAAATGTTTATCGGGATTGCTCAAGGCTTGGGTAGGGAAGTGGGGTACAGAAGGTGAGTAGGCATACAAGGAAATCAAGAACCTCCTTTTACTGGCCTCATCAGACACAAAATGCAGAAACTCTAGGTGAGGGCTATGACCCTGAAGGAAAGCCAGGCCTTGGCTTTTGGTCAGCTTGGAAGCCCTGTGTCCAGCACACCCTCAGGAGAGGGGCAGACATGCCCTCATCCTTCAGGGCTGCCTCCCTTCCCACTGGCTCTTTCCGTCATCTGGAACTGATAACAAGTCATTCTCTGGATGGGCATGTGCTGTCAATTAGGTATTTTCCCAGCTAGCTCCCGTTTTCTTTATCTTCCAGAACCGAGCACATCGTGGGAACACACACTAGATTTCAAGTTTCCTCCCAGCTCACCTCTTTCCTCTCTTTTCCTTTCCTATGTGACAGGATTTCAATCTAAAATGGAACTGGAGGATTGGAAACGGAGATTCTCATACATGCACCCTCAGGAGAACAGAACTTAAGAACTGAGACTTGCTTTCCCATAAATGTCTGGTTTTCAGAGATGGAGACCTATCTCCTAACTAATGAACATCCACCAAGAATCTCCCCAGCCTCAAGCCAGTGAACTCAGTGCCTGGACTCTGGCAGGACTTGCCCCTCCTTGCACTGCTGGCTCATAAATTGAACCTGCCCCCAAACCTCAATGGACTCATCTGAAGCTTGGTACAACATGCATTTTCCAAATGGTAATTCCTTGGCTATTCATGAATAAATTTAGTTTCTGGTAATTTAAGCTTGCCTCGGTTTACCTCATTTGGAGGTAAATTCCTATGTATAGATACTTGCAAGACACTCGAAAACTAGGAACCCAGTTTGCCAGTACAGGAGGTGTCTGACTTGACCTTTGTGACGTCAGAGAAAACAGTCACTCTAGCACAGTGCTATGGAACTACCTGCTTGTCCCCACTCCCAAATTCATCTATTGTAACCCTAATCCTCAATGGGATGGTGTCTGGAGATGGAGCCTTTGGGAGAGAATCAGCTCATGAAGTTGGAGCCCCTGTGATGGGATGCGTGCTTTATAAGAGACTGGAGAGAGCTGGTTTCTTCTCTTGGCTCTCTTCCTTCATGAGACACAGCAAGAACACAGCCATCTGGAAGCCAGGAAAAGGGCCCTCATTAAAGCCCGACCATGTTGGCACCCTGATAGCAGACTTGCTAGCCTCCTGCACTGTCAGAAATAAATTTCTGCTGTTTTAAGTAACCCAGTCTATGGTGATCTGTTACAGTAGCCTGAACTAAGACACATGGCTGCAAGAAACAGTGATAAATGCAGGTTCCCTCTTGTCCCCTGGAACCAAGTCTGTGTAACATGCTGACTTGTTTCACAGAGAAACAACTGCCCTGTGGCTTCTCCCCTGCAGCCAGGAAGAGCCTGGGTGGGTCTCCCATGTGTAAGCTTTTCAGAAAAGGAAACTCTGGTTAGAAAAGGCACCTGGATCCTGACAGAGTGGGGTAGCAAGTGGACGTGGGCATCCCTTCAGCTTTACATGAGAATGAAGTGAAAAACAAATTCTGTCATAATGAGGAGATCCCACCCTAGCATCAAATTCTGTTAGGATGCTCCCAGGGCAACGGGAGGCAAAAGGCTGAGAACAGTGGTTGAAATGTGTAATGTTAAAAATCAGCTTCAACGTGCACATAAATGCCAGGATTCACGGAGGAAGGGATGGAAGAAGCAGTGGAACAAAGTGGTTAAAGTGAGCGTCCTAAGGTCAGACCACCTGGCTTTCCCCTTTCTGTGTGGAAGTACAAAGTCACCTTGGGTAACTCATCTAACTTCCTAAAATTTCAGTTTCCTTAACTGTAAAATGGGCATAACCATGACCTACCACATAAAGACTGAAGTGAGGATTAAATAAGATAATGCACTCAGATTGGGGAATAAGCCTTCAGATAATAAATGTGAGCTATCCATACCTTTAGAATAACAGCAGATACAGTGATGTAACTGGCCTTGGCCCTACCCTGGAATGGGACCTACAGGATGCAGAAGACGCCAAAACTCTGTGTCCAGAGAACTAGTTAGCGAGCAAGACTAATTTTTATTTTCAGGAAACCGAGGCCATCTCTTCATGGTTTGTAAGAGCACCCCAAAGTGAAAACAGACACAGCTGCCTTGTTGCTTTGCCTCCTCTGACCAAGTGGATTTAATGCTACAGGTCTTCCTAACTCAAGAGAAAACTAACCCCACATTAGTAATTTTAACACCAACAAAAACACAACACATGTAAAAAAGATGCAGGTGAGGTGGGATCAGGGCAAGGACAGAGTGGGGAGTCAAATTCATCATGAAACCACCACAAAAGCCAGCTAGAAACTTACCTCTCCCCACATCACAAGGGATTTTTGATGATCAAGCATACAAAGCCAAAATCCAGAAATGCAGAAACAGGTACACCTGCATTTCAGTTTCACTCTCTTACACACACACACACACACACACACACAAACACAACCCCTCCCCCCCTTTTCAATGACCTCATGGCCACTCCCAAAACTCTCCAGCATTGGGTCATTAGCCAACACAGGTTTGGATTTCTCAAACTGCAAACAGGAAATGGGGAGAGGGACCAAAAGGAAACTTAGCCAAAACAGAGAGAAAACAATTGACAAGATGGGAACCATGCTTTGCAGGACACAGTGAAAGTCTAACCTAGAGATCTTTTTCTGACCCAGAGTGAAGCGGATGATTTTGCTTTGAGGTGAGTCCTTGGATGATGCACTGCATGACAGGGAAGAAAAGAGCGGAAGAGATGAGTGAAGGGAGAGAAGAGATATTAGAAGCACAAATAATAGGAGCCTTAGAACAATGGGAATGCGCCCAGTTTACCCTCTGCCCACTTTTTCCACAATATACAGCCTTCTTCTAACTTTTCTGACTTGACAAAACCCCAGTGTGAAGATACTGCTGTCAAGATTATCCAAGAACTTTTGTGATTTCTTTTGTTCCTTCCTTTCTTTTTTAAACACCAAGTATCTTCTCTGCTACCAATCACTGTAAGGCCTTCTTCCCACACAGTAAGACACAAAAGCGAGTGGTCCCCAACAAGTAAACAAACTTTATACCTTTCCAAGACGTTTACATGCTTCTAGCTCATGTGCTTGTTCTACCAGGAACTTTTCAGATAACTGCCTCATAAAGGTGACCCAAAAACAACTTTCTGGATCTTTCCTAAACAGTTAAATATTGGTAATATGTAAGGTAGTCACAGATGGAGAGGGAAGCAAGTCTTGGGGACTATGCTCCTCTTCTGGACACTAGACTGGTGAGGAACTTTATGACATGAAATGTGAATCAAATTCTTGCCACCACGTAGATTCATGAGACATGCTGAAGTGAAGGGGTAAAATGGAGTTGCTTTTGGCCATCATACAGGAGTTGCTCAGATTCCTTTATGGCAATGAGTTTCCTTTGTCATCTTCCATGACTCCTTTATTAACAAACTTCATGGAAAAGCTCCCAAATTTTAGTATTTGTTATCCCAAGAGGTACAATATTCAGCCATGTTTCTATGTGGCAGGGTGCTAACACAGGACTGAAAAAAGCTGGCATTTGGGGTTTGCATCAACATTTCACGCTGATGATCAAGGGTCTGAACCTTTACCCTTGGGACTCATGCTATGTCTGTCTATAAGACAGAATTCAAGGACAGAAATACAATGGAACTGAGCCAGTGAGGCAATTTTACTTAAGTTTATAGCCAGAGTGTCAGCACAGGATATCCTATCCCTAGACTTGAGAATAAGTTTATCCTCTGGAAGTAAAATTAGAAAGTATCAGAACATAATGGATGAAACCAGTCATCTGCAGGCAATAGCCCAGCCTGAGCCAGACGGAGGATGCGTGAGGACTAACTTTAAAGCCCAGTGCACATTGCCACATGCTGTGGTGTCAGGAGCCACTTGGGAGTAAATGGATATAAAAACCTGGCCTGAATTTGGCCCTTTTTTAGGTAAAGCACTTAACAGTAGGCTGTTTTTTTTTTTCTTACTGGGAGATGAGTGTCCTGACTGGGACATCTGGTTCTTTTATGAAAACAAACACCTCCCATGGAAATGGGTGCCTCAGGCTAGCTCAGCTCAGTGCCACAAGTTAATGTTTCTTAGCACATGCTCCTCAGAGCCCTATGCAGTGAGACGACCTATATCAAATAAGAAGAGTTCTGTAACTAAGCTTAAGGAAGGCTTCCTACACCTCCTTCTGAAGATCCACCATGCACGGGTGCTCCTCTCCCAGGCTCCCTCACCTCAACGAACACCACCCCTTACCTCGCCACGCAAGCCAGAGATCCAGGCTCATCTACGATTCTTCTTTTCCTCATTCCAGAGAGTCAATCTATTTATAATCCTGTTGGATCAACCTCCAAACTATCCTGAACTGGACCAGCCCTGTATCTGCTCTGCCACCTTGATCCAAGCCACTAGCATCTAGAGGACTCTTAACTGGAGTCTTCCCTTCCATTCTTAACTCTTTCATAGTCTTACTCTCTAGAGACAAGCTAACATTAAAAAAAAAATTATAAATCAAATCAAATCTCTCTTCTATTCAAGATACACCCATAGTTTCCTGTCACCATTAGAATGGAATAAAGTCTCTACCGAGTTTACCTCAGGGCCACCAATCACACCATCACCCATGTAAAGGTGGCAGCCTTGTTTACAAGCTGCCTTATCATTTCCCAACTCCCCTCATTCACTGAGTTCCAGCCACACTAGCCTTCTTTATGCTCCTCCAACCTGCCAAGCTTACTTTTGCACCACAGGGCCTCTGCACCAGCTGCTCACTATGGTCGATCTATTCCATACCTGAGCTCTGCATGGCTAGTTCCTGTCATTTGTATAACCACTTTGGTGTCATGTCCTCGGAACTTCCTATCAACCCAACTTAAGTTATTTGACCTAATCCTTCTGAATCTCATCATCTTATAATAACACTATCTGATATTTCCCTGGTTCCTCCATTAGAATGTAGAGAGCACCCTTTGGCCATCTCATTTACCCCCAACTCCAAATGCAGAGGAATGTGCCTGGCACACAAGAGGCATTCACACTAATTAAATAAATGTGTATTGGCAGATTCAAGCATCTGAGTAGACCTGCAATAACCGCTTTAACAATTTAACCCAGATTATTTCCCAATCTTCCCCACACGCACACATTGAACCCTCCCCCTAACAAGTTACCATCGAGGGAATAAGCACTGTGAAGAAAGCAGTGGGGGAAATGATATCCTGATCCAGGTCCATCAGATACTTCTGATCAGAGAATGTTTCCATTCAGTTGGTTTTTCAGGGCAAGGGTGCAGAGGCTGAAAGACTGTCTATTTCTCATAGTTAATCCAGGCATCTTTGCTAGCCCACACATTTCCATAATGTGAACTGGATATAATTACATAATTAATTAGGGGATCTGACATCTATCACTGCTGGTTTTAACACCATTTCAGTTGGGAAAGAGCACTTCTCATGGAAAGAAAAAAAACTATAACCATCTATGAGGCATCTGCTCATCTTTTGGCCAACTGCAATGGGCTACTATGGGTAGGGAAGTGTGAAAGAAGCCCTATGGTTACTAATGCTGGTGCTCAGCAACTGGAAAGAAAAAGCCATTATTCTTTAGCATGCATTAAATGAAATCAGGCAGTCATTTTAGTCAGTGACATTTAGAATTGATAGGTAAAGATTTATAGCTCAAAAAACAATCACTGTGGACTTTGCTCTAGAATTTTACCATGAGTCAAAAACTTTCTAGTTCCTAACCGTTATCTTTTTCTTCTGCCATTAAAACAAGTGTTTTCCGAGGTGATCTTTTTGCGGAGATGTTTAGGAATACAATTATTCCTGTTGTAACACCACAGACAGTGACTACCCTGGCATTCTGCTTGCATGTCGTTCTATGCTGAGTCCCCCTGGCCAGCATCAATCCCTCTGGGGACATCAATAAAGTCAGGCCCTAATACTACAAGGCAGATGACCACAGCTAGCACAGCTACCAACCCCATTGCCATCAGGGCATGCTGGCCCACTCAAGGAGGTGGCTGCCTCTTCTCTTGCTAAGAACCACTTGCCATCTTTCTTGTGTGCTCTTGATGGTTCTCTTCTGGCAAAACAGAGGCATTTGCTAGAAGAGAAATCTTGCCTCTACTAAGATAAATTGCTTGCACACATAACACTGAATGCCCAGCTTGTGGGCACACATGAAAAAGAAGTTTGAAGTCTATTTTAGGGGCTGTTTATTGCCTGAGAGCATGCATGTAATAGGCCAGAGTGAAGGCAGGAGCAACTAATAAGCTCTGGCTGCTGGCCACTCTGACCTCTAAAAGTACACATCTCTGCCAGGTACCTGACGCAGTTCTAACGCCATCCATTCCAGGGTCATGCAAATGCTTCACTAACCACCAGTTCTCGGCACTAAGGAAGCACAAATGGAAAGCACATTCAGTGAAGGCTAGACTCTGGTTGGCGTGGAGGAGGAGGCCTGAAAAACAGAGTTATCAGTTGGCAAGGAGCCCCCACCTGGACTGCATGTCAGCTTGTGCTTTTGCCTGCTGCTGTGGTGTTGGCTGGGGCGGCTGGCACGGGGCCTGGAGTGCAGCTGGCCCCTGTGGAGTGCCAGCCTGGTGTAGGGGTGCGGAGGGTGCAGGCGGTGAGCAGAGGGGCTGCTTCTGGGGCTGCTGTTGCTGTTTGTACCGGGACAGGCTGAAGAACAGGCCTAGGATGGCCTTGAGGTTTCCGTTCCTGATCTCTGCAAGACAGGGCAAAGAGTCTTGTTAGAGGAGGAATCCTTTCTGCTCTTGCTTGGTGGGCTCTTCGGCCCTCAGACCAGCTTAATTCCTCTAGGACACGACAGATTTCCTCAACATGTCATTGGTATCACAGTCAATTAAAGTCAGCTCTAAACCACAAGGAAATTAGCTTATTCTCCCCACTAGGATAAGAGTGGATATATGAGGCAAGTTGCAACTGGTTGTCTGGCAAGTGCCAGGAGGAAATTCTCAGTAAGGACACAACCAAAAAAAGTAAGAGTCCGAAGCAAGACTGTGCTTGTCCTAAGGCAAAGCAACCAATCAGGACAGAGCCCCAGGGGACACTCACTGTTCTCCAAGTCTGTGACTTATGCTTCAAGCCCCGCTGAGCATGCCAAGTTCCTGCTGCCCCATTCCAAAACCCTTGCATTGCTTTACTTAATTGTCCTTCCCTCAAATACATGGCCCTGTGTCTCTCTTCTCCATGGAATAAATAATTTTAATTTGGGATGGGTGTGGGAATAGGCTATAAGATTTGCTTGCATAAAGAACTTAGGCAAAAATTCTTATATATTAAAAAGAAAGAAATTAGAAACTTACATGCCTCAACACCCAAAAAGCAAATAACCATATTAAAAAGTGGGTGGAGGATATGAACAGACACTTCTCCAAAGAAGAAATTCAGATGGCCAACAGGCAAATGAAAAGATGCTCCACATTGCTAATTATCAGAGAAATGCAAATTAAAACCACAATGAGATATAACCTCAGTCCAGTTAGGATGGCCAAGAGAGAAACGACTAGGAACAACAAATGCTGGCAAGGATGCGGAGAAAGGGGAACCCTCCTACACTGCTGGTGGGAATGCAAACTAGTTCAACCATTGCAGAAAGCAGTATGGAGGCTCCTCAAAAAACTAAAAATAGAAATACCATTTGACCCAGGAATTATACTCCTAGGAATTTACCCTAAGAATGCAGTATTCTAGTTTGAAAACGACAGATGCATCCCAATGTTTATCACAGCACTATTAACAATAGCCAAGAAATGGAAGCAACCTAAGTGTCCATAAGTAGACGAATGGATATAGAAGATGTGGTACATATACACAATGGAATATTATTCAGTCATAAGAAGAAAACAAATCCTACCATTTGCAACAACATGGATGGAGCTAGAGGGTATTATGCTCAGTGAAATAAGCCAGGTGGAGAAAGACAAGTACCAAATGATTTATTTCACTCATCTGTGGAGTATAAGAGCAAAGTAAAAACTGAAGGAACAAAACAGCAGCAGACTCACAGAACCCAAGAATGGACTAACAGTTACCAAAGGGAAAGGGACTGGGGAGGATGCATGGGGAGGGAGGGAGAGGGGGAATAAGGGGCATCATGATTAGCACACATAACATTGGGCAGGGGGTGGAGGGGGCATGGGGTAGGCAGTACAACACAGAGAAGACAAGTAGCAACTCTATAGCATCTTACTACACTGATGGACAGTGACTGTAATGGGGTATGTGGTGGGGACTTGGTAAGGGGGGGAATCTAGTGACCACAATGTTGCTCATGTGATTGTATATTAATCATACCAAAATAAAAATCAATAAAAGTAAATAAATTAGAGCAGAGGAAGGATAAGAAAACTTTAACTCCAGACAGAATTTTTCAGACGTGCAAATGCATTTGCCCCAAGGCATGCTTAAAGAGCTGAGGAGAAGGAATAAAATATTTATTCACAGGCAGAGGCTATAGATCAGAGAGTATTTCTCCTGGGGGAACTCTCTCCTCTCCTGCAGTTCTTCCAACACCAGGCGCAATGGCCCGGGTCTGAACTGCCCATAGGTGTGAGGTAACAGGGCCAACCAGCACGAGGGCCAGGGAAGGAACCTTGGAGGCTCCCTCTGCTTTACTTCAACCTTCAGCTGCCTTTCTTTTCCTGTGTTGGCAAGGGGGTTAGAGGGAGTGGGGTTGGAGGAAGGGAAGCATGGCCTGTGTGGATAATGCACACCTACATGTCTGCCCCGGCTGGGCAAGAGACTGCTGGTGAAGGCACAAGGGTTTCCTCCAGGGACCGGCTGAGAGGCACAAGGTATGAATGGGATCCCCTCAGAAAGGCGGCTTACTCCCTGGCAAGCCGGCCAGTGTCCTGGGGGTCATCTGCTGATTTAGGCCAGGCCGAATCACTTCCTGTTGGAACCTCCCCCTCTCCAGGATATGTAGAAACTGACAACATAATTCCTAGAATCCAGCCCACACTCCCTATTTGGGGAGCTAGCAGGTTCTGACTGCGAGGCAACACTGACAGGATACAGAGCTTTTGGAAAACCTAAGCCATGAGTTCCAGTCTGTACCCAACACTTACTAGTGGTGCAACCCTGGGCAGGTCACTTAATCTCTCTGGGCTCAATGGCAATACTGACATAGCTGCCCCTCACATAAGGTTGTTCTGCAGATCAAATGAGAGCATGTACAACACACACTGTAAAAAGTGAAGTCCTTCACTGGTCTTGGTCCCTAGTGACAAGTGTAGCCCAGAATCCTGTATGAGATTCCCAGACAGGTCCAGCTTCAGACCTTAAAAATGACAGCTTTTACTCTGGTGACCTTGTCATTTATCATGGAAGCTGTGATACTTTTGAGAGTGAAAGAGGGGAGGCTTTAATTATGTCAGGATAACAGGTATAAGCCAGGACTGACCTGGACACACGAGGATGCTTATAAAGCATGGTGTGCAATGCAGGGAAGCAGAGAAGGCTCTGAGGGAGCAGCCAAGCCTCTGGTTTCTTTGAGAAGTTCAGCTTTAACCCTTCTCCACCCTCAGGAAAGCAGAGCAGCCGCACACCTGGGGCTCACTCCACTTCTGCTTCTGGGGATCTGTCACAGAGTGTGAGGGTGGCACTGTCTGATTTAGTGGGCTCCTCAGTTTGCTCATGGGAAAACAGAGGGTGAAAATGACCCATCTGTGGTCACCCAGCTGGACACTGACAGGAGTTGGGCAGAGTCCAGAGCTGGCATGCAGGTTAGCACCTACGAAGGAACTTGGGAAAATGGACAACTTCCCCTCAAAATGGAATTCACTGGAGGAAGAAAGTAGAACTAATCTGGGGATAGATGAAATCTATCTAAGACTTAGTTTTAGTGCCTTTTACAATTATCAGGTTACAGAGAATATAACAAGAGCTACTAATTAATATGTATCAGATTAAGCTCTTTACATGCACAGTCTCATCAGTCCCTACAAGCTGGGAAATGAGCAGTAGTATTCCTCTTTTATTTAAGGAGAAACAAGAGGCTCAGAAAGGTTTTATGACTTCTCCAAGGTAATAAATGCTGGAGCTGAGATTTGAATCTAGATTTTTCCAGCTCAAAGCCTGGTCTCCCAACGCTGTGTCACTTGACTTACTTGTACACCCATCATGTGTGGCAAATTTAAAAGCATCCCAGATAATGTTTCATTTATTAAGCTAGCTGGTGGGCATATAACTATGCTTTATTCTTCTTCTGTAAGTTTTCTTTTATTATGGAATATGCCAAACATTCCATAATACTTTCTTTAAACCACATAAGAAAAACAAAGGGAGGAACTAACAATTCAGCATGCCTGGGGCTCAGGGGTTGTCCCGGACAAGCAGCAGGCATGTCCAGCATCAGCACGCTAACCTGTCAGCCCAAACCAAGATAGACAAATGGAGGCAGCTGCCATATTCTCTGCCTACTCTGATTGCTAAGTCAGTGTCCATAACTTAGCATTATTCCCTGAAACATCTTACCTGTCAAAGAGCACAGTGTTCCCATAAATACAGTTTCTCATAGGAGGCAGCATTTTTATTATAAAGATCACTGATATTTAGAGCCAGAGAACCTGAGTTTGAATTACAATGGTCCATCATTTATAGACTCTGAGTTTTCACAAGACTCAACCTTTCTGAGCCTTGGTTTTCTTCTTTAAAACAGGCATATGCCTTGCTGCATCATTCCCACAAGTTTGTTACGAGAATTCAGTGACAAACAAGAAAATGAGTGCAAAGCACCTAGGACACTGCCTGACTCTGTACTTCCCTTTTTGGTTCAGAAAACATGGTCAATTTACCGGCAGCCTCCTCAGAACTCACCACAGGGCTCTTCACCTACAGGAGGCCTAAGCAGCTGCTCCTCTCCGCTATGCCACAGTCATGAGTGACAAGAAGGAAATCAACCACAAATAATCGTGTGTTAGAGAAAACTCAACGGTGATCTGTTTTTTTTAAAACAGCTTTATTGAGGTATAATTTGCATCCATAAAAGTATGCAATGATTTTTCGTCAATTCACTTAGTTTTAGAAAATTTCCATCACCCTGAAGAGTCCCCATGCTCACCTGGACTCAGACCCCAAACCCATTCCCAAGCAACCTCTAATCTGCTTTCTGTTTCTACAGATCTGCCTGTTCTGGACATGCCATAGAAATGGAATCACACAATATGTGGTCTTTTGCATCTGGCTTCTTTCCCTTAGCATAATGTATTTAAGGGTCACCCGTGTCAGAGCATATATCATTCGTTTGTTGCCTCACATTGGAGAGTAACAAGCCACTATATGGATGTACCACATCTTGTTTATCTACTCACCAGCTGGTGGACATTTGGACTGGTTGCTTTTCAGAACACAAAAGCTCATGAGTGGTAGAAGCTGTTTGGGGTTGGAAGCCACACAGTGTATGCCATGGGTGGTCTAGAACAGACAGTGTCCAAAATAGCTGGAACTGTGTTCTTCCCATATTTCCAAATGGCATCTGTCTTTGTCTCACGAGGCCTGGTAAGCTGGTGCCACAAGCAGTCTAGAAACAAAAGCCATCAGCCCACAAAAACGTTTCCTTCATGACATTTCCCAAGCCTTTGGAAAAAAGAATATGATTTTGTACCTGATCAACTACCTTCATCCACTTAATTTTTGGAGAAAGAAAAAAACACAGACCTAGAGAAAACTGACTTGTCCAAGGAGACACTAGTGAGCCAGGATGGGAACCCTGTTTTCCTTTCTCTCCTTGGGGCCGGGCCCATGTAAACTGAAGAACAAACTACACAGGCCATATTCCTACTGCCACTGGAATTCAGTGCTGCCTTGGCTCTTCATTTCCTCGGGCTGACTGGGCTCTTTATCCTCACGGCTGGCTCTAATCTGCACAGGAGCTGCAGGCAATGTTGGGCATAAAGGGGGAAGATAAATAGAGTTATTCGCTTTCAACATTATTTAAGAGAAACCTCAGGCCTGGCTTACAAAGGCACAAATACTGGAATAATCTAATACAAAGAAACCTGCTTTGCAGGGAAGAAGGGATTCAGAGCCAAAGGGAGGATTGCCTCAGACCTCAGAGGCACAGAATTACTATTCCAGTCCCTTGAGCCACCGTGGTGTAAGGCTCACCCGGCTGACTCAGAACTGTGGGTGGCATTATTCCTCCCAACAGGCCGTCTACATAACCTACATTCACCACACAACTTTCCAGCCCCTTCTCACAGCCCCTTCTGTGTCCTGCTCTCTAGGCCTGGCTGTGACTCTGCCCACAGGGGATGTGGCACGCAGGCCAGGGTGGTGGTGAGGGTGGTGGAACAGAGGCTACAAGGCTCCTCCAGCTGAGGGACAGAAATGGCCCCCTCACTGCCAAATTCAGGGGTGTCGGTAGAAGGAAATGGAATCGTCCCACCTGCTGCTTTTATCCTGATGGCCCAGAGACCTCCTGCTCTCTGGCTCAGGATGACAGGAGAGTCACCTAGGTTTCTGGCCAGCAGGGCAGCAAACCAGGTCTGAGCTGATCAAATCAGTGACCAATTTCACTTCAAATGCATACACTCCGGAGGCACTTGGAAGGATCTTCCTGCCTCTGTTTCTCTAATCTGCAAGGCAGATAAAGAAATAGGTCCTTTGCCTCCATCCCATTACCTGGCTAGATTTCCCTTGATCTTCCTTTTTTGTTCGGTGAATGCCAACTCATCCTGTAAAACCCAGGAGAAACATCACTGCCCCCAGGCAGAGCTCTGGGCACCACTGATGCAGTACATACCACTAGCATAGCTCTCTTACTAACTGGATTTAAGGACAGCTTTATACAGCTGACTTTAACTCTCTGTGTAGCCCAGCAAATGTTTGCTGAGCTAAATAGGATACGCCTTACCCCCAGACCTCTACTTCTCCATTACAGGAGGATGGGCTCACAGCCAGGTATTTCTCACAACCCCCAGGGATAAAGGCCATCCTTCTTCACAGGGGCAGGTACAGAAGGTTGTGACAGGTGGACTGTGTGTAGGGGAGGGTCTGAAGGGATCTTGAAAATCACCCAGGGCAGGGTGAGGCCCAGGCTTACAGGACCTGACAAGTCCCCAAGAGCAAACAGATAGGTCCAACCTTTGGGAACACGAAGGGTGCAGGACCTAGTCCAGGGGAAGCACCCCAAACCAGCAGCATTTCCACGGGCCCCACCTGGGCCTGCAGCCTCTGCCCTGGAACAAAGGTTCCCTGGGGCTCCCCAGCAGGCACGCTGGGGCAGGGTCTGAGTTGCTGAAATGCTTCAAGGACAGGTGCATACAGCCACCCTTCTGGGTTCCAAGCCCAGCTTTAGTCACTGGGAAAGGGTGGAGGTGTGCCTATGGGGCTTTCCAGCCTGGCTGATGGTTTTTTATTTCCCCATCAGAGGAGTTGCCTCAGGGTATTTAATCCTCCTCAAAAGGAAAACAAAAAGCATTAAGACTACATCATTATTTCTTTAAACACTGTACTGCTTTTCCAGTAGTTAATGCAGGTGGCTAGAAGCCCGGAGTGGTACAGAGTAGGAAACACCATGCCTTGGAATCAGCACATGTGAGCAGCTTATACCCTCTGCTGACCTTGTGGGCCTCCCTTTTCCCACATGTAACTTAATCTCTTGGACCTTAGTTTCATCTGTCTGATGGGGATAATACAAATACCACCTTGTAAGGTTGCTGTGGAGATTAAATAAAACATAAAATGTGCACAGCGCTCAGCTCAGTGACTGACACATGCCTGGGTCCTCAAATGGTTTCTGTTACTATAATCTAAAAGTATGTCTAGTGAGATAATTCCCATAACCTTGATATTGTGAATAAGGCCCATCTGAGGATAAAAGGTTTTAAGTACCCCTTGCTTTCTAAGTTCAAGAAGTTGATAAAAGATAGGGCAGGTCACCTTCCCAGACTGTACTAGTTCAGAATCAGTATTACCAGCCAACACCATCAGCATCCCCCACCCCACTAACACCCAAGGAAGGAGGTGCAGATGAGAGGAAGTCACTGTGACCGGGGGAGGATGGTGATGCCTGATGGTCACGGGGACAGGGTACTTCCTCCCCTCACCGAGGAGCAAGAAGATGGGGTCCTTGCCTCTCTCAAAGACAAAGGAGTGAAGGCTCTCAGAGAATCACTCCAAGTGGGGGTGCTGGCATTCTAGTCCCCAGGTGGACGTCTGCTTAGCAGAGAATGTGGCCGATCTGCTGCTTGGCCCAAGAGCTGGAGAGAGACTGTACGGTGGGGGGCTTCCAGCTGACCAGAGGCCGGCCCCAACAACTGCACGTGGAAGACGGACCCCAAACATTCCTGTTGGGTCTGTGGTGAATAATCCAGGATTATGAGGCTGAGGTCTACACCCTCACCAGGACCACCTCAGTGTGGGGACAATGAGGCGCCTGAAGCCAGAGGACGGCATACGGAGGCTACCAGCTGGGGGTGAGCTGGAAGAGCTGGTCAAACCTCACAAAAGACTACCAAGGTACTGGGAGCAGCATGAGAGCAAGTCTGTGGTCAGCAGCATGTGCAGAGACTTAGTTAACAACATTTACTGAGTAGTGTTTCTATGTCTTAAGGTCCAGAGAGAATGGGGCAGGACGGGTGGGAGGGAAAGAGGCCGAAAGCAGGACAATAGGTAGACAGACAGCAGAGTAGCCAGGGGCCACCTCCAGGCCACATGGGATGAGGCTGATACACAGAACCCACATCCCAGAGAGCCCTTTCTGCTGAGCATGACTCTGTGAAAGCCCCAGCTGACACCCTGCTGGGGCTGCAGGCTTGGGATCCAACCACTCCCAGAAAACATCAGTGTGTGCCTGCTGCCTACCAGCCAGCACAAGAACTCTCCACCAGGAGGACATAATGTGTTCCCTGGAATGGGAATTTGCACTTCCCTACCTATCCACAGGAACACCTACAACAACCACCCACCCCCAGGCCCCAGCAAAGTGCATTCCACATGCCATCAGCCCAGACCTTAACCCCACGCAGGAGGGGCCACACCCAGGGACAAGAGAATCCTCCAAGGACCCTCCCTGCAGAGCTGGGATTAGATCTAACCACCAACAGCTGCTGTGTAGACCTGTGGATGCAGCATGACTGCAGTAGGGTTGCCCGTTGGACAGCTGCTCTTGGAAGAAATGTGACTGTGTCTGACCTGAGACAGGCCCAGCATATTCGAGGTCCCATTCAGAAACACGACACACTCATGAGGCACCAATAATGGCCACCTGCCCCTAAGACCAGAAACGACTACAGTTCAAAAGTACAGCCAGGAAAACCAGGCTTTCCTCGCACAGCAAAGCAAAGGCAAGGAACAGACCCTGCGTGGATCTCATCGGCAAACTTACCTGCTCCACTGGGCTGCTTCCCTCCTCATTGCTCCTTTCCTCCCTACTCTGACCGTAGGAGTTGATGCTAACAGGCATCTTTTCAAAAAATGACCTCGCTAGGGAAAGGTGGTATCATCTGAAGCCAAAACTGCTTTACCTGTTCCAGGAAAGCTGGAGGCCGGTGCAGTCTAATGAGTTCGGGAGGGTGCTGGGGCCTAGAGCAGCTTTTGAGCTGGCAGCTGCTTATATTTACAAACAGGAGGGAGTGTGAAAGGTTCCAGGGTGCAATGTTGCTTGAGGGGGCTGAGAATTTGGACAAGCCGTCTCTAGACCAATACCTAACTGAACAACAAACCACCAGCAAAAGCTAATGTGTTAATTAGCCACCAAAGTGGAGTTAATTAAAAACTAATCAGGATGTCAAAATGCACCATCTCATTAATAAATCGGGTGCTTTCTTTGGTTGGGAAAATTGCTGCTGCTTCTAATAGAAGAGATAAGGATTAGGCATTTTTCCCTGGGAACTGTACAGTTTAAATATGTTCTGTGAAATGTTCTCTCTCTCCCAGATAAGGTCTGGCTTGATAATTAACTGAATTGCTCATTGGGTGAATCCAATCAGCATTGTTTAAATGCTTTTCAGAGAGAAGCAGCACCATCCTCACCACTCTCTCAGTGTCCTGCAGACAGGGCCAGCATGGCTCAATCTGCATTCTTGGAGTGATTCTTTAGGTTGTCAAAAATTTGGCATCCTCAAGTCTAGAAAAGAATAGAGCAATCTTGAAGCCAGAAGAAGCCACTAGCACCCCTTGGCTGAACTGTATTAACGTCACTAATAAGTAACAGGCAGGCATTTCCAACGATGGAAAGGCAGATTCATAACAAGCACTGTGACTCACCTTCTGCAGACAGCCCCTGGATGTTTATTCCCTTAGCTGCCAGGAAATGCAAGCAGGCATCTATGTTTTCAATCTGGGGGGAGAAAAACCAACAATATACACTCAGTAAACGTGCAGCCATCTCTAGAGCCACCTCTCACTAGGAGTAAAGGGCTATGTTGGAGAGAGGGTTCACCACGCATTAGCTGCAGTTCTCAACAAGGAAAAAAAGACAGGAAAACGCCGGATGGATGGATACAGGTTGGGACTCCCCGTTACCCCCGTCTGAACTTGCACAGGAAAAGGTTACTTAATATCCCAAAACCACACAGCACCAAAGTTGAGGCCCTGGATTGTGCACGCCTACAAAAAATAACCAGGGTGGAAATGGAGCTCTTATGCTGATCACTGTCACCAGTACCATCCTGAAAACTTGAACAACTGCCAGAAACATGGAGGTGGGGAAAAGGAAGAGCTGGTCAAATCCCACCCAAGCAGCTGGAAGAAATTTCCAGCTAACGAGGAGGCAGTCAAATATAAAAATAGTGAACAGGAATTTCACTGTTTCAGCAGGAATTCAGCAGGAATTCGGACAGTGTTTACTCACAAATTCTCAGGATGGCGGGCGTTGCAGATGACCAGGCAGGGCTGCGACCTCACCAAACCCCTCTGTACTTTGTGAACCACACAGCACCAAAGTTGAGGCCCTGGATTGTGCACGCCTACAAAAAATAACCAGGGTGGAAATGGAGCTCTTATGCTGATCACTGTCACCAGTACCATCCTGAAAACTTGAACAACTGCCAGAAACATGGAGGTGGGGAAAAGGAAGAGCTGGTCAAATCCCACCCAAGCAGCTGGAAGAAATTTCCAGCTAACGAGGAGGCAGTCAAATATAAAAATAGTGAACAGGAATTTCACTGTTTCAGCAGGAATTCAGCAGGAATTCGGACAGTGTTTACTCACAAATTCTCAGGATGGCGGGCGTTGCAGATGACCAGGCAGGGCTGCGACCTCACCAAACCCCTCTGTACTTTGTGCTTTCTGTGGCAAGAAGGGACCCACAGCCAGAGTCTCAGAGCCTTCCCAGATTTGCCAGGGCTGATGCCGTGGCCAAGGGCATGCCAAAATGTCTAGCCCTCAGGAAAGAACAAATAGGTCATTCCCAAAGGTCTGATTCGACTTCAGTTGTCAGAGCTAATTATTTTTTTGGTCTGCAGGAAAATGTTCAGACTTGATTAATGTCGATGGTGACCATGAATGAAAGAAATTGCATTAGACTTGGCAACTGGAATCTTTGAAAGTTCACACAATTTGCATTTCACAAATGGAGAGCCCCATCACCTCACCTTCACAACCCTTAACCCCACCTGACTTCCCAGGCTCCATTCCACATTCTTAAGAAACTCAAACCAGTATTTAACCCATGAGGTTTATTTAGAATCAATGACTATCTTTCATGGTGTACATGTGACCATTCTCCCTCCCCTTCCCTAAGCAATATCCTGATAGTTCCTCTGGAGCCAGGCTCCAAGGCAGTCTTCCTAAAGCCACCCTCTGTCAATGTCTGGCTTTTTTTTCTCTTCTCCCAGTCTTCACATCTTCCACATGCTTTATATTAAGCTATGGGGCACCTCATGAAAACTGCACCCATTTTATAAGAATCCACTCAACCCTGAGCTTGAGGTGCTCCATCCTCGCATTTCTTAGCTCAGGCTCCCATCTTGTTCCCAGCCTCCCACTCACCTTCAAGGCTCCTCATCTAGAAGACTTTTTTCATCTCTAGGAAAAAGGGCAGAATGTAATTTCCTGCAAACTGAATGAACACTGATGCTATGGATTATGCCTGCCACCATTGCAGAAATTCATTTCTTATAAAGAGAGGAGAAAAATGAGATTGCATTTAACTCTCATCTTTTCAGCCTAGGATGACTGACAAGGACAATCAGGTGCTACCATCTTGGAGGGAAGAGGGGAGGGGAAAGGAAGGAAGAGAATGGCTAGGACGGCCATGTGGAAGCTGTTCTGGAGCAGTCGGCTTGCATTTGTAAGTGTAATAAAAATTCTATCCCTAAATGCTATTTCACCCTGTTACAAAACCCTACTTTTGAGAAAACTACTAGTCCTTCTCTGTTGTACCCACTGGATATACACCAAACCACTCAGAAGGATTTGCTGCCCTCACAGAGAGGGACTAGTCTTTAAACCATGATAAAATCATAAAAATCTTCCTCTACCCTTTGTCTCTTTCTATAATCCTACTCTCCTCAGTATCTTGCACATGGCTTGAAAGCAAGGCTTTGGCAATTATGACCCCACGGAAAATGGGAAAAACAAAAGCTGACCACCCCTGAACCTGTTAATGCAAAATCAAAACAGTGCACATGATATTGATCCTGGTAAGTGTTATATAGGTGGGCTGACATGGGCAGGTTATGTTTTATCAACAATTGTGCAGCACTGTGATATTGAACAAGACAAGACATTCACCAACATATTCAAGAAAAGCACTACTCTACTGCAGTATTGTAACTATAGATATTTTCTTCCAAGGACCATAAAGTACATTTATTCATCACATTCATGGAGTATTCAATGCATCCTGCAAACCTAGCCCTGGTCCATTTTGATTCAGCCATCTACCGGGCTTTCTTCTATTATTAAATTCTATTAAAGGAATGAATTACTGTAAGTAGGTTACCTGGAATACTTCCTGTTGATTTTTTAAAACCCTATCACTCTTTCAACACATTTAGTGATTTAAATCAGTAGTTCTCCACCGGGCATTGGGTGAGTGGTGGAAAAGAGGCAGTGATTTTGTCCATTCAGGGGATATCTGGCAATGGCTGGCAACATTTTGTGTTGTCACAATCTGGGCAGGGGATGCTATAGGCATTTGGGGGGTAGAGGCCAAGGATGCTGAACATCTTACAGTGTGCAGGAGCCCCCACCCCAACAACAAAGAATTATCCAATCCAAAATGTCAGTATTGTCAAGGTTTGGAAATGTGAATTATGTGATTCTTTTAATCATTCATTCAACGTAACTGAGTGGATGTCTGCTCTGTGCTTGATTCTTCTCTAGGTGGTAGTCTGGAGTCCCCCTCCTCGTCCAGGGGCCCACATTTACACAATCGCTCTCTTTAGGGTCCACAGAGCCATTTGACACACACACCCTGACTCCCAATCCATTTCCGGGAGAATCTGAGCATATAAACAAGGGAAGCATTGGGATCTTCCTTCACTAGGTGAAAGAGGAGGACTAAGGGCACCAATAATGCTTTCTTCTAAAGAGGATATGAAACAGGGAACAGTATCTGGATGGCAGATCGTACTCTCAGAAAACATTAAAAACTAAAAATATGAACATG